TGGAGATAATATCAAATGCAGGATTACTCTGGGGAATAAATAAAAATCAATTGCATATATAGTAAACATAGTAAGAACTGATTCAAGTTGTAGCTTTTATCACTAAAGTGTTACAAATGTGTTTCCCTTTTCTTTTGCTTTAGATTACATCTTTATTTCAGCTCTGGTCTTCAGTAATTCAAATTTCCATTAAGCCAGAAGAAACAATTAAATGTTCCCATTTTTTGAAATTAAATCTTTAAAAAATAAGTTGTAAAAGACCTCACAAATTTCACGTTCTAGTGCCGGGCTTTAGGAGAAGAAGAAAACAAAGCCCAGAGAGGTTAAATGTCTTGTTTAGGGCCTTTGATACTACATGAGAGTCAAAAACAATGTCAGTGTGGGCCCCAAATACCATAGGTGTAACTCTGAGGCCCACCAACTGACCAGGTAGTTGTCCAAAATCTAATTTACCATTTAGGACTTGCCACTTACATTTCAAAAAAGTAACACTACTTGTTTAAAAAAATTAATAGAAACTTTTCCATTTGCTTATCTTTCCTGTTATCTAAAAAATAAGTGGGGTATTAATAAAATATTTACTTCATTTCTTGAAAGCCAATTCTGTGAGCCATGCACATAAGTATTTGAAAAACAGAAAAAGTAATGCCTTGATGAGACCTTGTTGACTAGAAAAGGCTACTTTGACTACAAAGGATCCTATGTTGTACAATTCCAATGAAGAGTAATTATTTCATAAACCAAATCTATCAGTCCTCACCTCAAAAATACAGGCTTCTTTTTAAACAAATAATTACCATTATATTAAAAACATTTTTTTCTTCATCCAGTGTACAACACAAACACCAGATCTATTCTAGAACTTCTATCATGTTCATTATTTAGATAAGAACCAAGCAAGTCTAATTACAAGAGCTCTTAAACAGAAGTTCTACCTTACCCTGGAAAGAGTAAGAACCAAAACAATCAATATACAGAAAAAAATTTAAGTAGATAAAAAAGCATTACTTCTAAACCCTGTCAGCCCACATAATCTGTTTCCATAAGCACTCCCCTTGTACTCTTACACTAGAACAATGGAGAAAAATCAGTTTAAGATATTTTAAATAAGGCTTCAATTATTTATCAACAAATAGAAGGATTTCCATATGCTTTTTAAAAATAGCTTGAAACCAGTACTATTAAATGAAAACTAGTTATTTCCATTTTTGTTTACTGTACCTAACTTTGGTCTGTAAATTGATACATCAACAACTGAAGTTAAACTTTCAATATCTGTAAATAACAATAGTTAAGAGAGAAGGCACATAAAATATTCATCACTCCTCCATTTCCATGTTTTTATAGCCACATAAAACTAAATCATTTACTACTAAGTTTTTTAGTAGAAATTGAATTTACAAAGTCTAACTCTATACCAAATAAAAATGCATATATTTTCAACAAACGGTGCTGGGACAATTGGATATCCATAATCAAAACGTTGGCCTTAGAACCTCATCTTATACCATATTCAAATTTTAACTCAAAATGGGTCATAGACGTAAATGTAAGAGCTAATAAAACATTTATTTAAAAAAAAAATACGAGCAAATCCTTGAAACCCAAAGCAAAGATTTCTTAAATATAACACCAAAAGCATCGTCCATAGAAGGAAAAAAGTCAATAAACTGGACCTCATAAAAATTCAAAACACTTATACTTTAAAAGACACCATTAAGAAAATGAAGTCAAACAACTGACCTGGAGAAAATATTTGCAGTAAGGGACTTGTATCCAGAATTTATAAAAAAAGATTCTTATAAACTCAACTTACAACAAACAACTCAACAAATGAATTAAATATATGAACAGACATTTCACCCAAGGAGATACCATTTCACTCCTCCTAGAACAGCTATAATAAGACAATAAACAAATCTTAGGATTTGGAGAAATAAGAACCCTCATATACTGTTGGTGGGATTGTAAAATGGTACAACCACTTTGGAAAAGTCTGCAGTTTCCCCCAAAGCTAAAAATAAAACCATGATATGACCCAACAATTCTGCTCTTAGGTATCTACTCAATGTGTCCGAGAACATATGTCCACACAAACATTTGCATGTGAACGTTTGTGGTGGCATTATTTGTAATAGCCCCAAATGGAAAACAATGGCCATCAACGGGTGACTGCATAGGCAGAACGTGGCATACTCATGCAATGAAATATTATTTAGCAATAAAAAGGAACAAACTACTGACATATGCCATGTCATGCACGAACCTCAAAAGCATTGTTAAAGAAGTCAGACACGAGAGACTCCATATTGAATGATCTCATTTATAAGAAATGTCCAGAGAAAGCAGATTTATCCAGACAGAAAAGAGAGTCGCAGTTTCCTAGGGCTGAGGGTTAACTATAAATGGGCATGAGGAATCTTACTGCGGTGATGAAAATGTTCTAAAATCGATTTATGATAATGGCTGTACCATTCGGTAGTTACTAAAAATCACTGAATTGTACACTTGGAATGGGTGAATTTTATATGTAAAATACACCTGAATAAAGCTGTGTTTAAAACGCATGTGCTTTTGTTTCTAGTCCCTTAAAGAATTACAAGTGACCCTGAACGACACTGGAGTTAGGGGCAGTGAACCCCAGGCAGCTGAAAACCTGTATTTAACTTTACAGTCAGCCTGCAGTATCCATGATTCCGCATTCTAGGAGTCAACCAACCTGGGACTGTATAACACTGTAGTACGTATTTAGTGAAAAAAGTCTGCTATAGGAGTACACCTGTGCAGTTCAAACTCGTGTTTTTCCAGGGTCAACTGTAAATGAGTAACTTTAGACTGCAGCAACTGATATAATTTTTATTAAGCAATTGTACTAATTCTAACCTTGGATGGGAAACCACAGACTAACTTTGGAGAAGTGCTAATATAGTGTTAGGAACACCCCTCTAGTTGGTTGCTCACTGGGAAGGGGTCCTCCAAGAAAAGGATTTCTCATAAATCAAAGTACCTTCTGTTGGTTTATATTTTAAGAAGTACCTAGAAGCAGCTCAAGAATATATACAAAAGATATTTAAGTTGTCCTATGACAATGGACCGATTGATTTGATGGGTGTTTTAGCCAACATTCAGATTACAGAAGAATTTAAAAAGACAAAATTTTAACACAATTTGAAAGGGCGTAGTGTACATTATATAACCTGGAGAGTGTACATGTCTAGATGGCAAAGGTTTGAGGGTATAACGTCAAAACACAATAGTCCTTAGTAATGTCACAGGCATTAATCCAATTCCTGGATCCTCCTATATTCATTCTAAATATATTCTCCTAACTGTCCACTTTATGATGTCTTTCAAACCTAAGACAGCCCTCACAGGACTTCAAAGAATTTTACAAACTTGAGGTCTTTACACAAATACCACCCTGTCTGTGAGGCCTTGCCTGACAACCTTATTGAAAATTGCTAACCTCACTAAACTCCCTATCCTCCCTTCTCTGATTCATTTTTCTCAATAGCACTAAAAATACTGTATATTGAATATTTTATATACATATTGCAATTATTGTTTGTCTTCCCCTACTAGAAGAGAAGCTTCACAAAAGGAGAGATTTTAATCTGATTTTGTTCCTAGGGTATCCCCGTTACCTAGAACAATGCCTGGCACATTGTAGGCACTCAATAAGTGTTTTCTGAACAAATGAAAGGGTTATCAGACACGTGGAAGTAAGTAAGAGCTGATCCTTGCCACAGGAATGAACGAGTCTCTTGTATCCATTTAACAGCCTTGATTTAAGGTTAAAATATGATTTTTTAAGGAAATAGAGGCCTCAATAAACCCTCCAAACTGCCTACCTAATATTTCCCCTGCAAAAAGAAAAAAAAAAACATTTTACTTATAATATTAGATTTGCAACAATCAAAAGAGAAGTATTTTTAATAAGCTCGTTCTAGTTCTGGAGAGAGGACAAATTAATTAAATCCCACGTGACCCTTATTAACAAGAAAAACAGGAAAGTTCAATACTTAACTAGTAAGAAGTAAAGAAATTTCAAAACCAGCTTGTTTTACTACACCCAAAATGGGATCCCATCACCAAGAATACAGACCTCAGCAGAGCATGTCTTAGCAGTTCTGGCCTCAGCCCTACATACTCCAAGATCCCCATCACCATCCTCCCCATCCCAGAAGCCTTCCTAGAACCATTTTACAAACACCAACCAACCTTCAGACCTCCCAGTTCTGATTAAGCCCTGACCCAAGCCAGCTGCATTCCAGCGTTTCACACAGGCATCAGAAAGACCCACCCCGCTCTTGCCCCCGGAGCATCCCCTAAACTGTCATCCCCACCAACCCAGAGTCTGGGAGCACGAAAGAATCGGGATGTCAGGAACCGCCCAGCCTGGCCAAAATTAGAGGACATTTTAGACCTTCATCACGGTTCTGCCAATTTCAGTGTGACCTTGAGCACGTTCCTAGACCCCTAGGGGTCCCCGTTTTCTCACGTTTAAGGTGAAGATAACACCTGCACCTGCTATAAGGATTAAAGGAGATCACACGTGAAGCACCTAACTGGGCACCTGGCACGAAATGGAAACTCCACCATCAGGAACGTGAGTCCATTCCCCAGTCCTATCTGTACAGCCTCCCAGCTGGAAGGCACCTGGCCCTACAGCACAGTCTCCCGGCTTCACAGAGGAAGGCACTGAGGTCGGCCGGGAGAAGCGCGGTGGGCGCCGGCCCTGGACCCCGCGACGCCCGCGCCCCAGCCCGCACCCCCTCGCCCGGCGCCCGCAGCTGCCGCGGGGCGAGGCGCTGCACGCTGCCCTCCCGGGGTCCCCAGGCTCCGCGCGGCCCGGGCGGGGCCACTCCACCTGCCGCCAGGCCCCGCCACCCGCTGCCAACCGCCCGCCCGCGGCCCGGGGCTCCCGGACTCCGGGGCTCCGGGGCTTGGCCTCCCGCGAGGTTGGCAGCTTGGCGCGGCGGCCTCGGCGCGTACTCAACTCTTCACTTTGCCGAAGGTGCCGACGCCCAGCGTGTCCCCCAGCACGTAGTGTCCGATCTTCACCCTCCCGTCGTGCTTCTGCTTCTCAGCCATGTTCGGGGCGCGCAGCCTCGCCGCCGCCGCCGCCGCCGCCGCCGCCGCCGCGAGCTCTCCTGTGCTGCCGCCGCCGCCTACCCACAGTTCAGCGGGCCCGCGGGGGGGCGGGGGCCCGAGACGCCGGGGACCAGGCGAGGCGGGGGCGGGGCGGGGCGGGGGGCATGTGCGCGCCCAGACCCCGAGGCGGGCGGCCAGGGTGGGCGCGGGAAGCCGAGCGCTGCGGGAGGAGTGGAGGGAGGGCCCGAGCTCCGTGCTGGGAGGGTCAGAGGCAGACAGGTGTGCGCGGGAGGGGTGAGGGGCAGGAAGGCGCCCAGCTACCTGGGGGAGGGGCCCAAGGGCGGGAGCCGGGTTAGGGGGCCCGTGAGCCGGAGAACCGGAGGGAGTGGAAAAGAGAGGGTGAGATTTGGGCCGAATGTTAGCGAATGTAGAGATGGAAGTAGAATCTGGAGAAGAAACAGGCCTGAAGTGTGAGGAGAGAGGGACGTGAAAAGCAGCGTGTGGGTGCAAGGGAAGTGGGGCTGGAGACGGTGGGGAAGGGCATTGATCGAAGGTCAGTCGGAGGAGAGCCACAAGGAAGTTTCTTGAGTCACGGGCTGAGTGTTTTGATACAGGTCACGGCGCAATAGATAACCCGATTCTGTGCTGGCTTCAGTGGTCCTCCTCTTCGTACTTTCTAATTCTCAATTATTTTGTCCTAGAGATGGAGGAGACCCTCTCCCCCAGAGCTCTCAATTTTAACTAGTTTGCACAAAGTTCTCCGGTCAGTCAGTCCCAATATTTGCTCGATTGTATTTTAGCGCATACTTACATAAATATATAGCGTAGGAATAGTTTGTGGTAGAGCTGCACAAGAGGGAAACAGTGAAAGAAATGGAGAGGGAAACTGAATGTGGTGAGCATGGGAAGTAAGATACCTAAGGGACAAAGAATTATGAAGAGCAAGAGCAATATAAGGACACAAGTTAAAGGTAAAGATTGAAGGGGGGAGAAAACCGGTAAGAGGTAACTAGAAGCGTGGCATCCAGGCAGAGCATTTAAAGACTGCCGAGGTATAGTAAATGAAGTGATTATCGCTTCCTCCTCCCTCCCTTCCTTCTTTTCTTCTTTCTTTCCTAACTTGCATACCCCATTCTTCAGTGTTGCCTGTCTTTTAGTGCTTTAGTGATTGGGAATAAATGTTTAAGGATTAGTTGAACATTTTTTTTTTTTTTTTTTCTTGCGTTATGCGGGCCTCTCACTGTTGTGGCCTCTCCCATTTGCGGAGCACAGGCTCCGGACGCGCAGGCTCAGCGGCCATGGCTCACGGGCCCAGCCGCTCCGCGGCATGTGGGATCCTCCCGAAACGGGGCACGAACCCGCGTCTCCTGCATCGGCAGGCGGACTCTCAAGCACTGCGCCACCAGGGAAGCCCTAGTTGAACATTTTTAACTTAGTGTCTGACAGTAGAGTTTCAAGGTCACATTCCCCAAACAGTAAGCCTCATCTGTTTATAGGTAAAGAGAAAAATGTATTGATCAGAAAGAATAAGATGCAACAAAAATTTGTTTTCTGAGAAGTGATAAATATACAAATGACAAACATGCATCCATTCTTGCTTGGACACCAAGACAATCCAATGAGAGATGATCACAGCTTATAAATTATAGACATCACAGCTGTTGAACAGAGACTATTTTTGTTCATTCTTGGGATCATCTTTCTTGCTGACAAGAAGTATCATTTAAGAATCACTCTACCTAGCCGACAATTCGGGGAAAATAGCCAGTTATTTTTGATACTGAACCTTCGTTTGGTTAAGGGTCATTCCTTCAGTATTCATTCAAGTGAGTAAGAAAAAATAACTTCTACTTTTGAGGTACAAGAAGTATGTGTCTCTTGTTATAACGTCTTAGTAAAGGATGTTAAAGAGAGTTAGATTGCTTTCTTGAAGCTCTATGAAGGCAGCCTATAAATAGAGATTTTAAAGCATTCTGCACTGTCTTAACTATTGGTTGATAATTGCAACTTGAACTATTATACACCTCATAACTGTGGTCCTTACCTAGCAACTATGAACTACCTTGTAGCTTTATTATTATGCCAAACAAGTGGGTTGATACTTTGTTGATTAAAAAGTTCATTTAAACACAGTTATCTCACTAATTGTCATAAAAGAAACGTATTATTATCCCCGTTTCATAGATGATAAATCTTAGTTTTTCCCTTTCTGATTTGCCCAAGGCTAATCAGCTAAGTGGCAGAGTCAGAACTCATATCCAGTTCTGACTTGTCCATTTGTCTTTCTACTATACAACAGCTACCTATATTAAAAAGAATATGTGATGCTCTAAGAACGTTTACATTTTTCACAATTATAGTCCAATTCTCATTTTTTAATTATGTTTAGGGAAGACTGACAATATATACTTTAAACTTACATTTTTGGCTGTTTTCCCGACTTCTATTTAGAGGAAAGATCAAATGCTAGGTGGGTGAGGAGGGTGGGAAAGGACAGCTCTTGGTGGCAGCACTCAGTCTTCTGTTGCCCTGAATATTTCAGATATGGTTTCATATTTGTCTCACCCTACCCTGCAATACAACCTGACAGTTCATCAGACTGAATCTCCTTAAGAGCTGTGCCACTTGGGGGTCTCACCTCCCCCCTCCAAAGAAGTTCTAGTAAATACAATATTCCCCATTTTATTATTTTCCAGTGATGTTTTAGTGTCCCTCTGTTGTTCAGTACCAGTCTCTAAGATTAATGTCCCACGCAGCTATTCAATTCTTAACCCCAGTCCAACTGTTACTGCTTTACCGTCCTACTATTGTGACTTTGGAATTATTTTACTTCAAATATTCTAAATTGGGGGCCTGAGTAGTAGAATAATGAAGGACCACTAAACTTATATACTTAACTAGACTCCATTTATATTATCAATTACCAGATCCTTCAATCCTTTGCTTCTCCATGAGGCTTACCTACTCTGACCACCCACCCAATGCTCCCTGCCTGCACTCTCATCCCCTTAACACTTCTCCTTTTTCCATGGCACTTACCTTCTGACATACTGTTTAATTTCCTTGTTTATTACATTTTTGTTTTGTCTGTCTCTCACAGCTAGAATGTAAGCTTCACAAGAGAGTTTTCTCCCCTCTATTTTTGCTCACTGATGGACAGATCCTTAGCACTGACATATCCTAGCAAATTACAGAACCTCCAGTGGATTCAGCTGGTGGGGCACCTGAAGTTTATCCGGTGAGGGGGAACCTCTTTAATTAAAAAATACAAAATTGGGCATGAAAGTGAATATTTGAAATGAAAAAAACACAACTATCTACAAAATTTTTGAAGCTAACAAATAATACAAACATCCCTAAATCCAGAAAAATAACAATATTTTTATAAATTAGCTATTCCACATGTCTCTATAATACTTATTTTCTACATTTTTTTGGCTATGTTTTCTTTGATTGCCTCTTCATAGTTTATATTTTTATAGAGAGAAGAAAGATAATTCCATTCTCCCTCTAACATGATTGATCAAGTTTCACTTCACTTCTTCCTCTTTAGGACTCCCATAGCACTTTTTTCATATAGTTAATACAGCATCTGTCAATTCTGCTGTTATATATATGAATACTTCGTATGTCTTTCACATATTTTCATATATAAATTAATATTTCACATACATGTGAAAATGACATACCCCATCTACTATTCCTAGGGCCAAACAGACCTGGTATGTTATTGAAGAAATATTTATTGAATTGAAATAAAGAAAATGATTACCAAATTGTAGAAACAAGAAACAGAATACAGGGAAGAGCAATTTTTTTATTTTTTAATTTAATTTAATTTAATTTAATTTTAATTTAATTTAATTTAATTTTTTATACAGCAGGTTCTTACTAGTTATCTATTTCATACATATTAGTGTATATGTGTCAATCCCAATCTCCCAATTCATCCCATCCCAAACGGGCAAAGCTTGTGTTTCCTTATCAATTTTCTGTCTGGATGATCTGTCCATTGGTGTTAGTGGAGTGTTAAAGTCCCCCACTATTATTGTGTTACTATCAATTTCCTCTTTTATAGCTGTTAGCATTTGCCTTATGTATTGACATGCTCCTATATTGGGTGTGTATATATTATAATTGTTATATATTCTTCTTGGATTGATCCCTTGATCATTATGTAGTGTCCTTCCTTGTCTCTTATAACATTCTTTATTTTAAAGTCTCTTTTATCTGATATGAGTATTGCTACTCCAGCTTTCTTTTGATTTCCTTTTGCAAGGAATATCTTTTTCCATCCCCTCACTTTCAGTCTGTGTGTGTCCCTAGGTCTGAAGTGGATCTCTTGTAGACAGCATATATAGGGGTCTTGTTTTTGTATCCTTCCAGTGAGCCTGTGTCTTTTGGTTGGAGCACTTAATCCATTCACAATTAAGGTAATTGTCATTATGTATCTTCCTATTACCATTTTCTTAATTGTTTTGGGTTTGTTTTTGTAGGTCCTTTTCTTCTTTTGTGTTCCACACTCAGAGAAGTTCCTTTAGCATTCTTTGTAGAGCTGGTTTGGTGGTGCTGAATTCCCTTAGCTTTTGCTTGTCTGTAAAGCTTTTGATTTCTCTGCCGAATCTGAATGAGATCCTGCTGGGTAGAGTAATCTTCGTTGTAGGTTCTTCCCTTTCATCTCTTTAAATATATCATGCCACTCCCTTCTGGCTTGCAGAGTTTCTGCTGAGAAATCAGCTGTTAACCTTATGGGAGTTCCCTTGTATGTTATTTGTCATTTTTCCCTTTCTGCTTCCAATAATTTTTCTTTGTCTTTAATTTTTGTCAATTTTATTACTATGTGTCTTTGTGTATTTCTCCTTGGGTTTATCCTGCCTGGGACTCTCTGTGCTTCCTGGATTTGGGTGGCTATTTCCTTTCCCATGTTAAGGAAGTTTTTGACTATAATCTCTTCAAATATTTTCTTGGGTCCTTTCTCTCTCTCTTCTCCTTTTGGGACCCCTATAATGTGAATGTTGTTTAATGTTGTCCCAGAGGTCTCTAAGGCTGTCTTCATTTCTTTTCATTCTTTTTTCTTTATT